AAGGAATAAACACTTACAAAAACAAAAATTTAAAGCACATCGAGCATTGAGTGAAGGATGAGTAACAGAAGTTGTTAAATTTAAAACACTAAAAACACTAAAAACGAGAAAACAAAGTGTGCATTCTGCACCAGGTGGAAGTGGTTCACACCAGTAGTGGCTCCTGAGCATAAATATGAGCGGGGCAGATAATCATTTCCTGAATCAGCCATGTTTTACAATCTGTGGTACATTTTCTGTAAAAAGAGATAGACGATATGTCGCTTAACTACTTGTGCTCAAAGTCGTTGTCTATTTCCTTCCCGCCTGCAGGTCGGGGTCGTGTCTTGTGAAAACATTTTGGTCTAATAATAGATGTATCAGAGAAACTCACCCAAAACTAAAGTATTTTTGTTGCTGACATATCAATCTGGCAGGTACACAGCTTTATTTATTGGATTAATTTTAATCAATAATCCAACCCAATTGATTTATAAAAAATAAATAAATAAAATACAAATCAAACACTCAACAACAAAAGATGAAAAACATAAAAACAAATGTAAAAACTGATAGAAAACATAGAAAACATAAAAATCGACATCCTAAGATGTAGCAAAAACCAGTTAATTTTTCATTCTGCAAAAACACTCCAGAATAACAAAGTTTAATGGAGGAAGAAGTCCTGTGAAGTCATTCTAAATATAATATAATATAATAGAATAGAATAGAATAGAATAGAATAGAATAGAATAGAATAGAATAGAATAGACAACCTGTGCATCAGACAGTCCGAGCAAGCCTCAAACCCACAGACACATGGTTTCCAGTCCACAGCTTTAACCACTAACCTACCACAGTAACTCGTACAAAGACGCCACAGATGCGGTTGACAAAGTTCTCACCAGATCAGCAAAAATGTCCCTCCTCAGTTCTCTGTGTTCTGTTCTGGGCTGCGCTCTAGATTTTTAAACAGAATATCTCCTCTGTTGCACACAGCAGCTTTTACTGCAGCTCTTCCTGTGTTTGATAAGCTCATCATATGAGGTCTAGTGTTCCTATTAAAGCACTAAAACCAGCAGAATGTGTCCTTAAAGTGAATTGTTTACTCCCCGGTGAGATTTTGTTGGAAGAGCTGCCTATTCAGATCACTGCCTATGGAGAGTAGATGGTAATGTGATAAATCCACTGATAAACGCAGGGCATGTATCGCCCTGTAAATGAAAATAAAAAACTGCCCCTCCACACTGTCTGGAGCAGAACAGCCTAAAACTTTTGCTCCAATCCTGCAAACCAGCCTTGGTTCAAAGTAGATAAAACCAAACAGGAGTTTCCTCAAACACGTTAGGGTTAGATGGAGACTGACCGCACCTGAGAAGCTGAACAAACAGAGTGGACTTGCTTCTGATGGTAAAAAGCTTCAAAACCCAGTTCACACCTAAAACAAAGTCCTAATATCTAACCCAAAAACCGAACATGTTAGGACCAGGCTTTGGTCCCCAAAAGGACTACTGGTCATAACAAGGTACGTGTTTATAACAGAAAAGGTTATAAAAATAACAAAAAAAAAACAGGTAAACACACAGGACTGTTCATTGACTTCTATAAATTTCAAATAATTTCTACACCCTAACCCTAACCTTACTCTAACCTAACCTCCTAGTACATACCTAATCTTAAACCTAACCTAAACTCAATTCACATCTTAATCCTAAACCTAACCTCCAACCCAAAAATGGAGTTCCACCTTATTAGGACCGGTCTTTGGTCCCCATATGGACAACTGGTCTTGACAAGGTTGGTGTGTATACCAGAAATGGTCCTAAAAAGGTAACAAATACAAGTACCACCC